AGTAAATACTAGAGCATTCGCCAAAGTACATGATAATTCTAGAAACGTTGCGTCGCTGTAGTCATGTGTCAGCTGACGCAACATTACTATACTTCTTTACCTCTCCTCTCTACACCTCAATTCTGATGCATTCCACTGTGCCACAGAGAATATTGTAGGGTAATTTTCATTCCCTTCACTTCTCCACTGTTACCCATTCCACTTTTACCATTTCCCTACTCATTAGGCTCTTTGCTGCTTAGATTGGTTAGGTAGGGATACTCTCCTACCCCAAGTTTGTCTTCTTTATTTTTTTCTATGAGATATTTGCCTTGAAGTTTTATGGTTACTCCTGATTTGATCAAATCACAGGTTGAGGCTGCCTATCATTAATCCTTGCTTTCATCCTTTGTTTCCATACTGTCCCAAACTCAACCCTCCACCAATATACCTTGATGTACTCCCCAGTTTCCCATCTTTGGATTCCCACTTCCTAACTTCCCTTTTCTACCCATCATCAGACTTGTCAAGCTCTTTGGTGATAATTAAGTTGAGTTGGGTCCTGTGGGTGCCTGGCTGTCATGGTTTAAGCTCCTGTGGTCATACTTTTCCGCCCAGACAAGGGTTAACCTACTTTTTACCCACAGACTTTTCTCAAATTCTCTCCCAGCCCTCATCATGTTTCCTATTTCTAATCCCATCTATGTACAACTTCTCGAAGAGGTGGTGTTTGTCAACACTTAAATAATTCCTCACTCCCATTGAATATCTGGGAGTGTTTTTCAATTCATTTATCAGCTGGGCTTAGCTTTCTCTCACTTGCCTGTGAACTATGAAACTACAAGTCACCAGGATTCATGCCTATCCTACTTATACTGTGTGAGAAGTTTTAGTGTTTGGAGACTATGGCTTCACTGGAACTGCTTCTCATTTTGAGTTGCACACAAAAGAAACCTCCTCTGTTGGTCCTTCAGTGACCAGAGGAGCCTCTCACAAGAAACTTTGACAACAGTTTATCTGCTGTCTGCTCCTTCACTCGAGGATTTGTATTGGTTGCGGGACTGATCCAATATCCCCATTAGTGTTCCATTACCTCCATCCAAACTGGATCTGCATCTCCTCACTGATGCTTCCCCCCTCTGGATGGGGAGCATCTATGAATGACAATTTCATATGTAGCACATGCAACCAGGACAAGTCCTCTCTATATATCAATATACTCAAACTTTCATTAGTCTGTTAGGCATGCTCCCATTTCTTCCCTCTCCTAATAGAACATTTTGTTATGATCCATTACGTTAACTCCTTGATTTTTCCTATATCAACTGCCAAGGAGAAACCCAATCCACTATCTCTTAATTTCAAACTCTGGAGCTTTCTTATTGGGTCAATTTTCATTGGGTTAATTTCACTGCTTGCCATGCACTAGGTGCTATGAGCCTGGTTGTAGAATGCCTCTCTCCAATAGGTGGACTCCACTCATCAATACCTTGCTACTCCTCTGATGTCCAAGCTTCCTCTCTTCTGATCACCTATTCCTCATCCTTGGCCCTGGTTGTTGATGCTTTCAGCCAGGACTGGTCTCATCCTTTTCATCACACTTACCCACCTCTCTGTCTTTTATCTCAGGTCCTCGTCTTAATTGAAGACACTTCTTATTGTGTCCTCTTGGCAGTACTCTTCTGGCTGGCTCAGCCTTAGTTCCCACTTCTATGTTACCTGACAACCCAACCCTTTCTTCTCCTGCCAATTATACTGTCTCACTTGCTTCGATGTACACGTCACTGTTACATCACAGGATATTGTCCTTCTGTCTTCACATTTGGGATTTGTCTGGCTCTTACCCAGTTGAACCAGACATTTCAATCTGGTAAACTTTCTCCTTTCTGTTATCCTTCTATCTCATCTTTCTACCTATATCAGTGGTGTGTTTTTTGACATTGGTACATCTGTCGCCACCTTTTTCCTGACTCTCCTACCATTGGCCATCTCTCTTTCTTTATCTGGCTGTTCAACAGTGGATCATCTGTTTTCACAATTGCTGGTTATCAGGTGGCCTTATCTACAATATTTCACCTTCCTCAACAATGCAAGGTGTTTTCCTTCCCAGTTCTCTCCTCCTTGTTCCAGCCCTTCTTTATCCATAGACCCATTTGCCCTGTTCCCATGCTCAACCGAGATCTCAGTGTCATCCTCACTCTCTCAACCATACACCTTTTTAGCCATTGGCAACCTGCAATTTATACCACCTTTCTTTTAAGACCTATTTTCTTTCTTTTCTCTCGTGTTGCCTTCCTACTGGTGGACAGCTTTTGCTGTATAATAACATCATTATGCATTAGTGCAATTCATGAGAAACTTTGTGAGATCAGGTGGGAGTTACCTAAAGGCTAGTGGGCATGCAAATCTCTAAGGCAGACTTACGTGGAAGATAATAAAATAGCCAGAAATAGCTAAATGTTTTATTTTATTCTGTAAACTGGGATACTTGTTTTCATCACTCGGTTGTTATTCATATTTATTTTTTTTAGTTTTCTGGACACTGCCCAGTATAGCTTTGTATTACATAAATCTCCCAGGTTGATTCTGTATTTGTGTAACGTAAGACTTCTAGAGACCATCATTAGTGAAAAGAAAATATAGTGCATAGATACTTTATACTTAAGTACGAGAGCATGCGAGAGGTATTATAATATTATAACAGGTAAAAGAGAAAAAACAGCACATTTCAAGTTGATTTTTTTAACCCAAAAATAAAATGAAGTTAACATGAAGTTTTTTCTCATTAATTTGAGAGGAGGGAGGATTTGTGTTGAGTTGAACAACTGGTTTAAAACTACATCTTAATTTTTATAACTTGATAATTCACATTTGTGAAACTAATAATGCTCTGTATGAAATTAGCAGGTATTTAATATTTCTGAAGATATTTATTATATCTTTTTAGTAATGCATCTTTCTTGCAGGTTTATAGAAAGTGTTATGGTCAGCATGTGGGTTTCAATATGTTTATGGATGCCATTCTTCTCTCTGTTACCCGTAAGGTGAGATTGATGATTTGTTGAAAAGTTTCAGTTGGTACTTAATAGTTTACAGAAGTAATAAAATAAGAGTTTATTTAATCAAAACATGAAAAAATTTTTTTCCCATAAGCTCAAATAATTATTTTTTCATAGTACATTATAAGCATTTATGTATATATATATATTTTTTTTTTTATGGTTGAAAACTGTTTTAACTGCAAGGTAAGTCACAAATAACACCTATCTATTGTAATATTTACTTTGATCACTTTTAAAGAAAAGAAATCTTCGACTACACAGTATACTTTTGCTGTACAAGAAGTAATTCAGTATTACTTAAATGATGACACGTCCGTGTTTTGCATGCTTTTGGATTCTAGTCAGGCTTTTGACCGTCTCCAGTATATTAAACTGTTTTAAACGATTACTTGTGAAAGGTTTATGTTCTTTAACATGTAGAGTACTGTTACTTATGCATACAGGACAGGCGGTGCGACTTCACTGGGGAGAGATTCTTTCAGGTTTGATATCTGTGTCCAACGGTGTCAAGGAAGGCGGAATTCAATCGCCTGTGCTTTTTTAGATCTATGCTGGTATGTTATTTACTGAGCTACGTAACTGTGGTCAGGGTTACTACATTGGCAGAACATTTACAGGAGCGATTGCTTACGCCGATGACTTTATCCTTTTAGCTCTGTCGAGAATTGGTTATTGAATATGTTGGAAATTGCCTAACAAATAGGCAAGGACCTTAACATTAAGTTCAATCCAGCGAAATGCCAGTTCTTGAAATTCAGGTGTCCTACTTCAGTTATTAAGGATAATGTAGAACAGCCAATATTGTTCTGTGGCATGATGGTTTCAGTAAGTGAATCAGCTGTACACCATTGTCATTACATCAGCTTTAATTACAGGGTAAATTCCATTCAGAAAAGCGTGAATGAATTATACCAGAGATGTCATTCGTTACTATCTAAATTTTCACATTGTTCATATGATGTGCAATACAGTCTGTTTAAAACATATTTTATGTGTTCATATGGGATCTTTGGGATTTTGATCATAAGACAATCGAAAGTTTTTTATTGCGCATGGTGTAAATGCAATCGTTGCATTCTCATGGTGCCATATGACACTCACTGTGACTTGTTACCTAGAATTGTGGATGACCATCCCATAGAATTTCAAATGCACAAGCGTTTTGTGAACTTTATGAACTCCTGCTGTTCATCTGAAAACGAGCTCGTCAGTTAATGCTATAGAATGGCTGTAAATGGCAGTGGACCAGTCAAATTTGTTGTAAATATAATCCTCACCGGGAATCTTTACCAAGATTTCTTCGATGTAAAAAGCCCCAGACTGGCCCAAGAACTAGTGCTATTAGAGACTTTATCCACTTCAGGGAGATATCAGGAGGTGATGACAGGGTAGATATAAATATTATTATTTCCCACCTGCGTACATATTAATTATCTGTATAACTACTAATATCTGTAACTGTATTAATTGTATCTATGAATGGTACGAGTAAATATATATATATATATTATAGTTGTTATTCAGGCCAACCTTATTAAATTCTGCTACAGTTAATGACATATATCACTGTAGTTGTTATTCGGGCCAACTTTGCTAACTTCTGCTACAGTTAATGATGTATCGTTATAGTTGTTATTCAGGCCAACCTTGGTGAATTCTGCTTCAGTTACTGACTTGTATCACTGTAGCCAACTTTGCTTACTTCTGCTTCAGTTAATGATGTATCATTATAGTTGTTATTCAGGCCAACCTTGGTGAATTCTGCTTCAGTTACTGACTTGTATCACTGTAGTTGTTATTCAGGCCAACTTTGCTAACTTTTGTTACCATTACTGACATGTATTACTGTAGTTGTTATTAAAGCCAACCTTGATAAATTCTGCTACATTAATTGATGTATCACTGTAGTTGTTATTCAGGCCAACCTTGTTAACTTCTGCTACAGTTACTAACATGTATCACTGTAGTTTTTATTCGGGCTAACCTTGTTAACTTCTGTTAGAAGTTATAGACATTGCTTGGAGCTTTAACTATATAATGTTACCCACCATACTGTTTGGTATTCCTTATATACCAAATTATAAAACTCCTGACTTAGTTATGTTATAAACACTTGCAAAATCTCCAAGATAGCTAAACTAGTATAAAAAAGGAACTCTATAAACTCTCAATATGTGAACTATGACATTCTTTTAAGTGAAACAAATATTATAGTGTTAACTATACCAGTAAATAAGATAAATATTTTGAGAAATTTATGATGTTAGGAAAACACACATATGTGTAAGAAATCAGTTTAACCCAAAATACAATACCCTATAACCCGAGCACTTTTGAAAGGTGGTCCACCTTTTGAAAATGCTCGGGTTATAGAGTATCATATTTTTCTTTTGATAAAATCATCTTAAATAGATTGTAATTAGAAAGGATTTGAAGAAATTGGCCAGCATTTTTAGTAAATATTTGTCAATAAAGAAAATGCATTTTCCTGGAATTTTTGTTAGGACAGTTTGAAAATTGTAACACAAAAATATGCATACTGTATAATAGTGTACAGATGCCCACTAGAATAACCTAAAAGTAAATTCAGCTATATGGAGACATTAGTT